TTTGTTTTCTTTTCAGTAAAGGTACTGCTTGTCAATTTCAATTAATTCATATATATCTTATAAAACTTATTTTTTGATATTTTTGTTGTTCCCTATGTCAATGGAATTTCTTCCCCCTAAAGCCACCACTTTGGTGTATGCCTTCTTAACAAGTTGATCGCCAGAGACAAATGATGCTGCCTTTCTTCTTGGTCTTATTAGCTATAAAGACTTAATGATATAATTACAGTTTCATGTCAATGTGGTTTATGCAAAGATTTATGTCATCTTCCCTTCCCCTTCACCACAACCTGGACTGATAACCACTTCCCTCTGCCCAGACAACTCCTTTCCCTACAATGCATCAAATAATGTTAGTTTCTCTTAGGTTCTCATACGTAAATTTTAGTAGCACACATTCTTTGGCCAATGCTCCAACAATCCTCGCACAGGATGTGAAGAACATGAGAACAAACTACTATAAGTAAGGATATCGAAAGAGTATGTTTGACACTCCCAGCTGTGAAGGCAATTTTCAGGAAGACGTTATTCCGTGGAGCACTTTCTCTGTATGGCAATCCAACACATTAGCAATTACACTGTAGAAGTTTCCCCTAAAGAAAAAAGTAGATGGACGAAACCCCATGGGCTGTAAGAAGGTCTGAAATTTGGTGGTATGACAGTGAGGGTGGCCGCACCGCTCCTGGCCAGCCACAACGGAAGTTAGGGCATGTCATCAATGCCTGGAGGCAGACGGGGTTTGAACAGCGAGGACTGCATTTCCGAGAGGCTGGATCTGCAGACCTCACACGTCCCGAAAAGAACCTGGAACCTTGGACTGCCAGCTCATGCTCAGGTCCAGACAACAAAAGATCCCCTGTCGAGGCCTGTGCCTGCAGCCCTGTGCAATATGCGGGGCCATGATAAGGGCTCAAGCATGTTTTCTGGAGCAGAACTTTGTAAGCTTGGCCTATTGGCCAGCACCTCTCTTCCTCCAGCCACCGCCAATGGGAAACTCTGATAAATCAGCATTAATTGGCTTTGTATTATGGAATATTGCTAAATATGATGTTTGATAATTTTGGCCAAGGTGATGCATTACTGGACCAAGAGCAGTGTGTAGTGGTACGTGAATATGAGAATAAGATTATGAATGATATGCAAATTTATCTGACAGGTCATGTGTCTCAACTACCCATTTGCATAATGCTCTATTCCAGTGCTAAATACACATGTACAATGCTAAGAGTTTATAACAGAGTGGTATCACAAAATGCTATTTTCAGCTCCTCTTCATTTTTTCTTTTTGTAGTTTATTGTATCTTTCCTCACTTGTCATCAACCAAAGTAACTTCTAAATTCTATAATCTCTTTCTTCTAGTATATTTTTGTATCAACTCAGAACAATGAATAACCTGTTTAGGGTTCAAGTTGGGATCCTGTGGTGAAGATGGTTGCATCTACTAATGTTGCCTTGTTGATTTCTAAGCAGCGCTGCCGGTGCCAGCTGAGACCTGGGCACCCAAGAGGGTTGCTGGGCTTAAGTTGGAGGAAACTTAAACCATAGCTTATGATATGAAGAAATAACTATTTTAACAAATTGGTTAAAAAAATATCTCCTAGTGTGATTTTTATGTTTGTTCTTCTGAAATTATGGGGGATCTAAGAGGATGCTGTTCTATGTTCTATTGACAATTTCACAAGTTTGTTTCCTCTTTTCCAGTTATTACAGTGCCAATTCACGGCAGATTCTTATGTTAATTCCAAAGTTTCCATTTTGAGATGGGTGTGTGTGTCACTGGAAAATTAAAAATTTGAAGCCATAAAACTATGATTGGATATGAGAGTTATATTAACAAAAGCTATTTATGCTTTTTGAAATACTCTAATGTATTGCCATTGCATGTAATCTGTTCTGTGGCTTGAAAATTAGTAAATTCAAGGTGAAGCAGCTAATCAGTGGCAGGGTCTGAAGAAGTGTCACAGGTCCTGACTCAGGCCATTGTTCTTTTGTCCACATTCCACGTCCACAGAGTGCTATTTCAAATTGCAGCTAAGGTGGAACCAGAACAAAACATAAACACGATGTTCCACATCTTCTTCCCAGAAGACAATATTGGGGTGTAAAATACACTTTTTTTTTTTAGACAGAGTCTCATTTTGTTGCCCAGAGTAGAGTGCTGTGGCATCAGCCTGGCTCACGGTAACCTCAAACTCCTGGGCTCAAGCAATCCTTCTGCTTCAGCCTCCCGAGTAGCTGGGACTACAGGCATGCACAACCATGCCCGGCTAATTTTTTTCTATATATTTTTAGTTGTTTGGCTAATTTCTTTCTATTTTTTAGTAGAGATGGCGTCTCGCTCTTGCTCAGGCTGGTCTCGAACTCCTGAGCTCAAATGATCCGCCTGACTTGGCCTCCCAGAGTGCTAGGATTAAAAATACACTTTTAAATGGTGTCACATCCCCAATCTCTCCTCTACCCTGACCTGTACCACACAGACTGCGGCATCTACCCCTCAAACAAAATACTTGAAGTTTCCTTTTGGGAGAAATTGAATGGGCCTGGAAAAAATAATTCCACATCATGACGCTGATGGTCCCTCAGTGCAGGAGTCAGACCCTGAGAGATTAGCCCCAAATTCCTATCAAATTTCGTCTGATCTCTTTTAACCCATGGCCATTTTTTAGGTGCTCTTAAATGTGAAATAATATCAAAAAACAGAAAAAATTTTGAGAAAGCAAGAGAGATCAAGAAACAAACAAACAAAAAAGATAAAGTAGATAATTTGGAGTTAAAGGTAGCTTTAAAATATATACATAAAAGGAAACAAAGCCAAACAAAATTTTAATTATCATTTTTACAAAATTGGAGAAGGCAGTCTCTTCATAAAACAAATTAAATTGCTACTAAGATGTGTTATATTTATCCAAGACTTTTAGAACATTCATTAATTTTTTAAATCTCATGAGGATTTTGAATAAAAATTGTTTTAAATCTATAGTTATATCTTTATCCAACTTCATGATTTACTAGTTTATAATTTGTTTTCTTTTCAGTACAGTACTGTTTTCAATTTCAGTTAATTCTATATATATCTTATAAAACTTATTTTTTGATATTTTTGTTGTTCCTAATGTCAATGGAATTTCTTCCCCCTCGCCACCAACTTTGTGTATGCCTTCTTAACAGTTGAGTCTGCCGGAGACAAATGATGCTGCCTTTTCTTCTTGGTCTTATTAGCTATAAAGTACTTAATGACATATTACAGTTTCATGTCAATGTGGTTTATGCAAAGATTTATGTCATCTTCCTTCCCCTTCAACCACAACCCTGGACTGATAACCACTTCCTCTGCCCAGACAACTCCTTTCCTACAAGCATCAAATATGTTGTTAGTTTCTCTTAGGTTCTCAAAGTAAATTTTAGATAGCAACACATTCTTTGGCCAATGCTCCAGCAATCCTCGCACAGGATGTGAAGAACATGAGAACAAACTACTATAAGTAAGGATATCGAAGGAGTATGGTTTGCCCTTCCCGGTTTTGAGGGCATTTTTCGGGAGGCGTTTTTTCGTTGGGGCCTTTTTTTTTTTTGGCATTCCACCCCTTTGGTATTTCCCTTTTGGAGTTTTCCCCTAAAGAAAAAAGTAGATGGAAAACCCATGGCTGTAAGAAGGTCTGAAACTGTGTGGTATGACAGTGAGGGTGGCCGCACTGCTCTGGGCCAGCCATATGGAGTTAGGGCCACTGTCTCAATGCCTGAAGGAGACGGGGTTTGAACAGCGAGGACTGCATTTCCCGGAGGCTGGATCTGCAGAGCTCACACTTGAAAAGAGACTGGAACCCAGCGGACTGCCAGCTCATGCTCAGGGTCCGGACAACAAAAGATCCCCCTGCCGAGGCCTGTGCCTGCAGCCCTGTGCATATGCGGGGCCATGAGTAAGGGCTCAAGCATGTTTTCTGGAGCAGAACTCGTGAGGGCTTGGGCTAAGTTGGCCAGCACCCTCTTCTTCCTCATCTCACCCAATGGGAAATCTGATAAATCAGCATTAATTGGCTTTGTATTATAGAATTTGCTAAATATGATGTTTGATAATTTTGGCCAAGGTGATGCCGTTACTGACTCAAGAGCAGTGTGTAGTGGTAACGTGAATATGAGAATAAGATTATGAATTGATATGCAAATTTATCAGTGACAGGTCATGTGTCTCGCTACCATTTGCATAATGCTCTATTCTAGTGCTAAATACACATGTACAATGTTAAGAAGTTTATAACAGGATTGGTATCACAAAATGCTCATTTTCAGCTCTCTTGCATTTTTTCTTTTGTAGTTTATTGTATCTTTCTCACTTGTCATCACCAAGTAACTTCTAAATTCTATAATCTCTTTCTTCTAGTATATTTCTTGTATCTAAATTTTAATTAAGACCAGGAATCCTTTCTGACACTTGGATGTTGAAAAGAAGATCTCTCTATTGCCCCCTCTACTCACACATCTTTTTATCAGCTGGAGAGTGTGGGGGTCACAGCCCACCTGGTAATAGATACATTTCCCCGCTCGCCATCTCAGTTATTGGTAACTGCTTAATATGGCAGTCCTCGCCATGGGGAAGACGAAGGATTGGACTGTCCTTGTGGGGCTGGTCAGCGGAGGTCGGCTGCACTCTACCAAGTGATTCTGCGAAAGGCAGTGATGTCCTGCCCCAGGGGTGCCCAACCTTTCTGGCACCAAGGACTGGTCTCATGGGAGACAATTTTTCCACAGACAGGGGTGGAAAGGCATTAGATTCTCATAAGGAGCGCACAACCTAGATCCCTCACATGCGCAGTTTACAGGAGGGCTCGTGCTCCTGTGAGAATCCAGTGCTGCCCCTGCTCGGACAGGAGGTGGAGCTCAGGCGGTCATGCAGGTGACGGGGTCATGCGGGTGACGGGGTCATGCGGGTGACGGGGTCATGCGGGTGACGGGGAGCGGCTGTAAATACAGATGAACCTTCATTTGCTCCCCTGCCACTCACCTCCTCCCGTGTGGCCCAGGTCCTAACAGGCCACTCTGAGCATTTGACCTGAATGCCTCCTTCAGATTAAGCCTCTTTGACCCCCTGGCCAATGGCGAAGGGATTCTGAGAAAGATTCTGAGAACCTTTCCCACAATAGAATTCTGGTCATTTCTATTTATCTATTTCTATTATGACCTGTCACTCTCTTAACATCCTTGTACATGTCTCCTGGTCCACATATATCATGTTCCTTTAGAACATACACCTAAGAGTAGAATTTCTTTGTACTGAGTGTGTATTTACAACTTTACTAGCTATAACTAGTTGTATGAATTCATACTCCCACTATCAGTGTGTAATTGTTCCTACTAATGGACTTCTTTGCCAATAGTCAGACTTTTCATTTTGTCCATCTGTTGGGAATTAAGTGATACGTCTTAACGATTTGAAAATGTATTTTTTCTGATTACTAATAAGGTTAGGAATCTTTTCACATGTGTATTGGCCTGCTTGTTTTCTTTTTATAATCTGGTCCTCATCACTGGAATGGCTCCTTGTTACATTTATTAATATAAAAATGACATATGTATAGTTAGAAATAAGTTTATAGGATTTAAATTTTAGTTTCACAGTTTCGATTTCCTATATTGTATGTACTAAAAGTGTCTTTTCCCAATTTGTGTCTTATATTTTTAAACATGTATTTTGATTGATATATTTTAAAAAATATGTAAAAAAGTCAGTTTATCAATATTTTAAAATGGTTTTTGCAATTTCATTTCTGTTAAGAAGTACTTTCATACCTAGGTTCACAAAGATACTCTTCTAAATTTTCTACTAGAAGTTAAAAAAATTATATTGATACGTATTAATTGTACATATTTATGGGGTACATGTGGTGTTTTGATACATGCACATGCTGTGTAATGATCAACTCAGGGTATTTAGGATCTCCACCACCTCGAACATTTATCATTTCTTTGTGCTGGAAACATTTCAAATCTTCTCTTCTAGCTATTCTGAAATATGTAGTACATTGTCATTAACTATAGTCATCCTAGAGGGCTGTCAAATACCAGAACTTATTCCTTCTGTCTAACTGTATACTTGTATCCATTAACCAACCACTCTTCCTACCCACCCCTCTTCCTAGCCTCTGATAACTATCATTCTACTCTCTCTGTACCTCCATGAGGTGGTCAATGTTTTTAGCTCTCACAGATGAGTAAGAACAGGCAGTATCTGTCTTTCTGTGCCTGGTTTATTTCACTTAACATAATGACTTCCGGTTCCAACCATGTTGCTGTAGGTGACAGGATTTCACTCTTTTTTATGGCTAAATAGTATTCCATGGTGTATATATACCACATTTTCTTTATGCATTCATCCATTGGTGGACACTTAGGTGATTCCGTATCTTGGCTATTGTGAATAGTGCTGCCATAGACATACAAGAGCAGGTATCCCTTTGATATATTGATTTCCTTTCTTTTAGATAAATGCCCAGTAGTAGAATTCCTGGATTGTATGGTAGTTCTATTTGTAGTTTATTGAGGAAATTCCACAATGTCTTCCATGATGGCTATATTAATTTACATTCCCCCCAACAGTGTGTAAGAGTTCCCTTTTCTCTGCATTCTTAACTGTTTGTTATTTTTTGTCTTTGTGATAATGGCCATTTTAACTAGGGCAAGATGATATCTCATTGTGGTTCCTGTTCACATTTACATATTCTTCATTGTCTTGCTTTTTGTGGATGTTATGTTGTATGGATCTAATGTTGAGTTTTCCTGTTGGATAGCTGATTCTCTCAGGATGACTTATTAAAAACTGCACCATTTCCTAAGTAAATTTCAATGCCAACTCCAACATATACAATATTTTCCTGTATGGGTGGGTTGGTTCTAGGCCCTCTGTTTTTGTTAATTTGTCTATCTCTATCCCTGCATCAATACAACCCTCTTATTTTCATTCAAGTTTGATAATAAATTGATGACTAGCTGGGCAAAATATTACCAAATTGTTTCTTTATATGTATAACTCAATAGTCTTAAGCAATTGCTCTTCTATAATTATTTAGAGTCAGTTTGGCAATTTCACAATATTATGTTAGGATTTTGAGTAGAACTGCTTGACTGCAGATTAACTCAAAAACAAACTGCATTTATTCTTTGGTTACATTATTCATGAATATAGTATATCTTTCCATTCATATAGGAATCTCTAATGCCTTTTAATGAAGTATTAAATTAGATTAAACTACATAAAATTAGCAACATTCATCTGTTTTTGGTCAAAAAGAACATCAAGGAAGATTTGAACTAAGGCCTGCCTAATTCCAAAGCCCTGATATCCTTTCTTTTGCAACAAGTTATATACATTGCAAGTTGACTCATCTAAATCTGATTGAAGTTATAGGCAAATTGGCAGAGGAAATATACATTTGCCTCTTGACTAAAAACAATATTAGTCTTGGCCAGATGAGAATTATGAGGCAGTCTCTAACATTAGAGCACTCCAGCTTCTACATTTGTAGATGCAATTCCATGTGTTTGAATTCACACTTAAAACTTTGTACCTGAAACAGCACACATAAAAATGAGGTAATATAGTAAGTGGTTATTATATTTACATAGAATTCACTCATTAGCTGTAACCTGTGATTGAAGAAAAGTAAGACCAGGAGTAAATAAATGTGATGGAGCTAAGTATGATATGCAAACACTAGAGAATGCAGAGACAATCCAGATTCTTAGAGAAACTCCTTTCTGTGTCAAATTCAACTCAATTTGATTAAAGACACAAGAGATAATTTTTGAATCAAGGCTATTTTCCAGGCACTATGTGAGATGGAGACTTGTGGAAGACAGGACCTAACCTCAAGGAGCTTTGGGTCTAATGGGACAAAAACAAGTACCCATTTGTAATGTTAAGTAGTAGGTGGTTTCTTTACAAAAGATTAATTACATCCATTTGGAGAATGATGATTCCTTTCAGGGGAAAGATTAAAATTAAATAAACTTTAAAAATCCCTTAGAATTTTAACAGACAGAGATGATGAGGAAGAAGTATGGCAGAGACCTGGCAAAATCCTTTTTTCACATAGTTTAAACTTTTTAACAATTCTTTCTTCTGCAAGTTCAAATCTATAGTTGAGCCCCTCTAGTGAATTTTTTATTTCAATTATTGTACTTTTAAACTCCATAATTTCCATTTGGTTCTTTTTTATAATTCTTTTGTCTCCTCCCCCATTCATATGTTGAAACCTAATTTTGAATGTGATGATATTCAATGGTAGATGGGGCCTTTGGGTGGTGATTATTTCATGAGGGTGGGGCCCTCATGGATGGAACTACTGCCCTTATAAAACAGGTTGAGGCAGCTTGTTTGCCATTTCTGCCATGTGCAGACACAGGTGGAAGGTGTTGTCTGGGAATCGGACAGCAGCCCTCACCAGACACCAAATCTGGTGGCACCTTGATCTTGGATTTCCTAGCATCCGGATCTGTGAGCAGTAAATTTCTATTGTTTATAAATTACCCAGTCTAAGGTCTTTGTTATATAGCCAAATGGACTATGACATACAACTTTTATCTCTTTACTGACATTCTCTCTTTGATGCATCATTGCTACCATATCTTCTTTTACTTCTTTAGCCATGCTTTCTTTAGTCTATGAATCTGACAATTTTATGTGTCAACTTGAGTGGTCTAAGGGATGCCAGATATCTGATGAAACATTATTTCTGGGTGTGTCTGTGAGAGTATTTCCAGAAGAGATTAGCATTTGAATTAGTAGATTGAGTAAAGAAGATTGCCCTCACAATGTGGGTGGACATCATCTATTCCATCAAGGAGCCAAATAGAACAAAAAGGTGGAGGAAGGGTGAATTCTCTCTCTCTTTGAGCTGAGACATTCATCTTCTCCCACCCTTGGACACCTGAGCTCCTGATTCTCCCTTTCCCCATGCCCTGGTTCTCAGGCCTTTGGTCTCAGACTGGGTGTTATGCCATTGGCTCCCTTGGTTCTTGAGCCTTCTGATTCATACTGAATTACACCACCTGTTAATTTCTGATTCATACTGAATTACACCACCTGGTAATTTCTGGGTCTTCAGCTTGCAGATGGCATATTGTGGAACTTCTTGGTCTCCATAATTGAGAGAGTCAATCCCCGTATATATCTTATTGGTTCTGTTTCTCTGGAGAACCCTGAACATATTTAAACATATTTATTATATTTAAACATATTTCTAATGGCTACTTTGAAATATTTTTCTATTAAATCCAACATTTGATTGTTCTTACAGGCAATTTGGTTACCCTTTTTTCCTGGAGTATTGATCATACTTTCGTATTTCTTTGCATAGTTCATAATTTTGGTTGAAAAATGGACATTTTAGGAACTATATTATAGCAACTCTGGGTACTATTCCCCACCATGGTACTTGTTATTGCTATTTACTTGTTTTTATAATGATTATTTTAGTAAAGTCTGTTTTCCTCTCTGTACCCCACAGTGTTAACTTTTGATGTTATCTCAAGGAGGCCCAGCTTTGGGCGTTCCCAGTGTTATGCTGGAATGACAGTGTACTGGTGGGACACTCTTCCACTCTTTCCTCCCCATATCCAGCTGTTAAACTCTATTAGTTGCCATTGTTTTCAACAATGCTCTGGGGGCAAAATTCCCCAACAAACTAATCTAAAAATTTATGACTCCTTCTATGAAATAGTTTCTGAGGTAAGTGTTTGATATTTGTTCTGGCTATAGGAGGGGTCTTCCCACCTATCTTATTCTCTGGTTCTCAACTGAAAACTAACCAGGCTGTGGTCTAGGTTGTATCTTCATTAGATACACAAATCTCCTCCTGAGTGCCTTTCACCTTTCATCAACAGAACCTCTACTGTTCTTGAGAGAGCCTTCAGGTTTAAACTTCTCCATGCTCTGTTGCCAATGAAGTCACTGCTTTGGGAATGTATTAGGATATGCACTCTGTTTTATGGCCTGCATTTTCCCCCAGGCAAAGTTTCTCTCTGAGTGACACCTCAACTCCAGGAGCTGAGCACTCATGGAGGAGGTGGCCAGCAGCCTGCCTTGCTCTTGGCTCACCTGTCCTGGACTGGAGCCCTTATCTCAAGAGCCAGGTGAAGGGTTTTGGGGGCTGGCATTCTTGATATGCCACACCCCAGGCAGTCCCTTTATCCCACAGGTGGGGGTTGGGCAGCAGAAGGGAGCTCCCACTTCTTCTCTGCACTAGCCTGGATTTCGCAGCCGCTGCAGGTAGCTGGGAGCAGGATGAGAAACTCTGAAGTCCTGCTCCTCCTAAGAACAAAGCCCTCTGGTATGGATGGGGCTTTGGGCCGAGGGAGCCTTGTGTTGTGGGCTGCAGCAGTCTGAAGTGGAGTCTCTGCCTTGCTGAGCTGGCATGGGGCAGGGAGGGCACAGTCTTGGTTCAAATACCACAGACTCTTGCCTTTCTTATCAATTTTCATAAGACACTTTTCAGAGGCTTTTTTTTTTTTATCAGTTTCACTGGAGAGTGAGTCAGTGGAACTCCTCATGTTGTCATGCCAAAGTCACCTTCCTTTTATAACATTCTTGAAATAACAACAATTATAAATGGGGACTAGGTTAGTGGTTTCCAGGGGTTAAGGCATAGGTAGGGGTAGGTGTGGGGAGCAGGAGGGAGGTAGGTGCGGCTAGAAAAAGGACAACATGAGGGATGCTTGTAGGTATGGTAATGTTCTGTATCTTTATAGTATCCACGTTAACTTCCTAGCTGTGGTGTCACAGTATAGCTATTAAAGATGTCATCGTTTGGGGAAACTGGGTAGAGGGTACATGGGATCTCTCTGTGTTACTTGTTATGAATGCATGTGGATCTAGGGTTATGCACATAACAAGCTTAATTAATAAAAAAGAGTTCTCATTATAGCAATAAATTATGTCAGATAAAATCATGGCAATGCTTTCATGTAAAATTATTTCATCTTTAAAATGAATATTTATAAAAGTACAATAAAGATATGGGGGATTATTTAAAATATAATGTTAAGCAACCTATGTAAGATTTAAAAAAATCCTATATTACAAATTCACTTTTATAAAAAAAAGAGAGATATATATGTTTTGGAAAAAATGCAGAAATATATGTTAAAATGGCCATAGTGATTATCTCACAATGAAACAATGACAGATTAATTTATTTCTATTAATGTTGTAGACTTCTGATCTTTCTTCATTGAGCAGGCATTACTAATACAATAAGAAAAGTACTGTGTCAATTTTTATTTTTTTAAACAAAAAAAATGTGACTCACTGTACTTTTTCTGGATTTGGATTTTAGAAGTCCTGTAACTCCTTCAGCAATCGGTAGCCTCACTGCAAGATGCTGGGTATTGACAGCAGTGAGACGGGGTTGTGGCCAAAATACTCTGTTGTACATGATAAATCGTCCACGATGGTATTGACCAATTGCAGATTTCATTGTTGGCCAAGACGTAAGTCGTAACATAGAACTCTCTTTTTACATGGCAACTGATATATTTTTTTCGATGATAAAGATGAAAGATCACTTGGTTATTTCTCTCTTTCCTTTACAGGCATTCCTATATTCTAGGGAGACCTATAGGAACCTTTAGTAAATCCTACTTAGGGATATTCCTGCCTGCATGAGCTATGACTCAATTTTCCAGCTCCTGGGTCATATATAAGACGAGGATTTCCACATTTTTGCCCTTACTTAGAAGCTGGCAAGCCTGGAATATTAGGAAGTTGTTCATTTGCGTTAGAAGCACAAACACCCATCTCAAGCTTTTGGTGAAGTATTTACATGGAGTTACCAAGGGGGTGACAAATAATTCTACATACATGGTTCGTCAGTCAGGGAGTGGATTGGAGAGCTAGTGGGTACATCGTGATGAAAACTAAACCACATCCTTTCTTGTCTAAAATTAAGAAAAATTTAGGTGTGTCATGAATGCATAAAATATATGTAGATACTAGTCTATTTTTATCATTTGCTACCATAACATAGACACAAATGTATTATAAAAAGTTTAAATTTATCAAAATTTATGAATACAAACACTTACAGACCATACACAAGGCCATTCACAGTGGAGAGAGATGTAAACAAATGTAAAGATACAGATTAAGATCATAATTGTATAAAATAATTATAGTTATTACTATAATTATTACTAGTAATAATTTCATAGTCTCCTTTTGTTGCTATTGCGATGAGCTCAAGTGTTGTGAGTATCCGCTTAAAATGCCATGTGATGTTAAACCATCATAAATTGTGTGTTGCAGTAAAAAGTGATCTCTTATGGTTCTTGTGTATTTTTTATCATGTTTAGCACAATACTGCAAACCTTGAGCAAAACCATGGGACCCATACAAAGTGCCACTAGTGATGCTGGAAGTGTTCCCAAGAAGCAAAGTCATGACATTGCAAGAAGACGTTGAATTGCTTGATATTAGATGGAAATCTGCAGCTGCAGTTGCTCACTATTTTAGACAGACAATGCTTCTTGTAAACAGACAATGTAAACTTATGGTATTGATAAATACAATTTAGTGCTGGAAATGTATTTTCTTTTCTTCATTATTTTTCTATTAACATTTTTTTCTGTAGCTTAATTTAGTATAAGAATAGAGTATATATAGCATACAAATATGTGTTAATTGACTTTATGTTATCAGTAAAGCTTCTGATCAACAGAAGGCTATTAATAGTTAAGTTTTGGGGGAGTCAAAAGTTATATGCAGATTATTAACTGTGTGGGATGTTGGTGTCTCAACCGTCACATTTTTCAAGAGTCAAAGTATTTTCAGTTACTAAAATGACCAGTGATAGTGGAATAAAAAATTAAATGATTATTAACATTTATCATGGTCTAGGAATGAGCTAAGTATTAACATGAGAGGTTATGTAATTCAATCTCTTAATTTTAGTGATGAAGAAATAGAAATTACTCAAAAGAGTACATGACTGGACCAAGGTGTGGATTAGGTGCCAGAATTCTGACCTCATGACAATGAACATAATATTCTGTCTGTTTTACTATGTAAATATATTCACCAACTGAACTCCAAAGAACTCTGATCAAGTAAAATATTGCTTTGTATGGGAGAGATATTGGAAGAGGAAATATTAAATTGAGGTGTGTGGAATTCATAGAATGAAATTTCGCTCGACTTTTGTTTCAGATACTCTGCTGATCTCAGATAATATTTTAATTCCTGGGCTTTGGATTTAGGCAGAACTGGGTTTGAATCCCAACAGTTATCTCTTAAATCACTACAATCTCTTGAAATCATTCTTTAAAATCACTAATTCTTAGTGATCTCTTACAATTGCCAATTCTTAGCATCCTACTCATTTATTAATTAATTTGACAAATATTTATGGAGTGCTAGGACCTACTCTAGGTACTGAAGATTTAGGAGTTAACAAAAAGGAATGCAAGCCTGTTGTGATAATTAACTGAGATGACACACCTGGCAGTACTGCTTTGCTCGAGCAAAATAATCAGTACATGATGCTGTGACTTTCCCTCACAGTGTCCTGTGAGAGTCAGCAGGTGGATCATGGACTTCTTCATAATTTCCATCTCGTCCACCACAGGTGCTCATGCATCACTGGCGGGGAGAGTCCAGCGTCACAGCCATTTCCTTCCCTTTTAAAACTGACCAGGGACTTCCCACAGAGGCATAAAAGCTATCAGGTAACCTTGCCTCCCTCAATACTAAAAACTAAGATCCTCACTCTGCAAAATGTGGTTTCTTGGCTCTCCACATGGCATATCTTATTTCTTTCCATGAAACTAGGTTGACAGCCACTCCTCTCACCATGTATCCTCATCCTGCCCCTTCTCTACGACCTCCCCAAGACCTGGGATCCTGGGATCCGATTAGACCTTCTTGGCAGACAGATCTGCTGGAGACAAGTGATGCAGCCTCATTCCCTATCCCTATTGGTTGAGAAAAATGCCAAGAAAGGGATGGGGATTTCCAGGAAATCTTTTCTTTCTTAGTATGCCTTGGTGCAAAAGCTGGAGTGCCTTCCCAGAAAGGAACTGAGACTGAGGAGGCAGATTCTGGGCTTGAGGGCTAGGCCTGTAGGCGCTGCCTCTGAAAAGAGACAAGATGTCTTCCTTCTAAAAGGACTCATCTTTCCCTCTTCATCAAATGATATTTCTTAGCACTATTACAAGAATAGTAGTGCTCAGGAAATCAAAACCCTCCATCCTAACTGTCACTTTCTAGCCTTGTAGCTACACTGGGATTACCAAGATGATTTCCTGGTTGATTTTCCTGGCTGTCTGCAGCTATGCAATTCTTTGCCTTTGCTGGTGGCTCCGCCCTGTCCATTCTCTCTGGTGCCTAAAGGCAGACTTTTCACTCCCTTCAGACAGGGGTCCTCTCCCTGCGTTCATCCTCTGTTGCTCCTGCGTATGGTGTCCTTATCTTTCCTTTGCCCTCTGCTCCCTTAATTAACCCGAAATATACTCTCTTGATGCTTTTAATGAGTGTTACTATCTCATACACATGGAGAACTCCGACCTTTAAGTTTTAAGATTGTTATAAGTTTACATAAATAAAACATTTTAACAAATTTGCTCATATTTTAAAACACACAAATTTGTGCTGTTGATGTACTTTATAAACAAAGTATTGCAACTCTTGTTGCAGTGTTAGAGTAAGCTTATATTGGCCCCAAACTCTTAGGCAAAAAAATTTGCAGATCCCATTTATTCTAATAATGCCATACCTTGAAGAATGCTTTGCCTTTTTGAAGTCAGAATATAATTCCATATTCCTATTATCACTTCAAAAAGTGGTATAAAATGTTATCTGCAGAGTTGTAAAGATTGAATGAGATCATTGAAAAATGGCTGATCAGAGCCTCGAACAATTGATTCCATTTTCCATTACTGCCCCTGCACTTTCTTTTGATAACCAGCAGGTGGGGAGATGACCCTCAATCAATCTTTATCTCTCTACTTTCCTTTCAATCTTCTCCCCACCCAGCTCTTAATTTTCTACTAGTGACGAGATCCTAGCATCACAGCAATTTCCTTTTCATTTAATCATGAACAGGGACTTTCCACCTACTCCTGAAAAGGAACAAGTATCCTACTTTAGCACTCTGCACTCATCAAGTGTGCTTGATCATGTTTGAAAAGGGGATAGTTCTTGGCAATTCACACAGCCATACCCTGTTTCTCCCCATAAACTCCAGGTATTAGATCTTCCTCTCACCCCATAACTAATAACCTGCCCCTCCTCTTCCTTCTCATAGGGTTTTGAAACCAGATTAATGCTAGGACTATTG